CGGACGATAATCTATTGTTAAAAATAGTTTTATATAAAAACAAAGTTTATTCATATACATAATTTAATGCTTGTTAGTCATCAATATTCTCAGGAAGTGTTTGTATTATCACTTTTCTCTTCGAATCATATACAAAGTTGTTTGATTTAAAAATATCACTTTCATAGAATGGATGAAGATTGTGTATATCAATCTGTTTAGCCTACAATAAGATGAAAATATAAGCGAATCAGTATGTTAAAACAAAATGAAATATGTCAAACGAGATAAATTGTTCATACCCTCTCTAATAGATCTCTTTCTGAAACTTCGATTGTTGTAATGCGATTTCCATGTAAAGCTCTTTGGAATGCTAAAGTATCCAATGTAATTTGTCTCAGTATATAATACAAAAGTTCACTGTGATCTTTTTTATATGATAAATATTTCTGGAATGTCTGTAAAGAAATAACAGCAAATTTGTTATATTTTAATAAAATCACTCTAAACACATTAATTACATACTTAATCCGAAATACATACCTGTCGCATGCTTCTCATTACTGAATATTTTTGCGTATCAACAAAGCTATCAAGCATCATTCTTATGGCAATATTAATATCGGTATCTTGAACATGATCCCGCAAATGAATCTTGGCGCTTGCTTCAGACATACGTATAATACTTTCTATATGTCTTACAGTAATTGGTAAACTTCCAGTGGCCTAAAAGATTTGTTAAAGAAGTTGTACCACAGTAATAATATATTTATAACTGATACATGTTCCACTTACCAAGCTTTCTTGTCTCAACTGACTGTACAACTTTGCTACTTTGTCTTGATCAATATTTGTCAATTTTGGATGAACATTTTGTTTTGCATAAACTATATACTTCTTTAAAAGATCTTGTGGAATGGATATATCTCGTGCATTCTCCTCTGTAGGTATTGTTTTTTCTGCATTTGTCGGATGATGTTTGATGTGAGAATTCACAACAAATTTAGCCAAGTGCCTATCTTGCATAGGATCTATTTCATCCTTTACTACACAAAGTATATCAAAACGAGATAGAATCGGCTCTGATAAATCTACCTAAGTAGAAAAATGTATTTCTCTTTATTAATACTGCTTCTAAATATTGCTTATTTTGGTCTTTCATCATTCATGTATGTATTTGATCTCTTACATTTTCCGAAAACGTCATACTAGCATCGTATCTTCCACCAATAGGATTAGATGCAGCTATTACTGAGCATCTAGCATGAAGAGATGTAACAATTCCTACTTTCGAAATAGAAATACTTTGCTGTTCCATAGCTTCGTGTATAGATGTTCTATCTTGATCGTTCATCTATCGAAATTGCGATAATTAAAATTCTACTAGAAACATTTACAAAAGATATTTGTTTACCTTGTCAAATTCATCAATAAGGCAGATTCCATGATCAGCAAGTACCAAGGCACCAGCTTCCAAAGTCCACTCTCGAGTTGTTGGCGATTTTCTTACAAAAGCAGTTAAACCAACAGCTGAAGCTCCCTGGCCTGTAGTAAATACTGTTCTTGGCGCGATTTTTTCGATATATTTTAAGAACTGAGATTTAGCAGTTCCTGGATCACCACACATCAAAACATTAATATCCCCTCGTACTTTATGTTTATTACCTACGCATTAATATGAACAATGATGAGTTCTGTTATTCGAGAAAATGTGTTGAAAGTACTCTGAAAAATTAAAGTACCGGGATTCTTCGATTCACCGCCAAATATTGCCAAAGCTAGAGCTCTTTTTGTATACTCATGCCCATAAATTGACGGTGCAATGCTCGCGACGATGCGATCGAAAATTTGATGATCCTTACTTAAAGAAATAATACTAGAAATATCTTCTTCGGTTAAAGATTCTACAATTTCTTTCGAGTCTTTCACATGTAAATGATTTGCTAGAAGTACCGTTGCAAACACGGGAAAACCCTGGTGCAACAAGAATATCATTTAATATTGTATCCGATAAGAACTTCTTAAAATTATTATTTTCTTACTTGTTCTGTGTTTAATGAACCATCATAGTTATTTGTGTAAATCGCAGTAACGTCTACTTCATCACCCGGCTTACAGCGATCACAGAGATCCGATAGAAGAATACATTCTTTGCTTCTAGGTATCCTACCTGCAGGAATTTTACCTGGAGATTCTTGAATTGTAATTTTTTGGTAATTTCTATATATTGTTTGCTCCATATTAATCTATGTAAAGAACGTCAACAAAATTTTACTATCTATAAAATACATATGTATAGTTATACAATTTTTAATGAGACAGTTTTACCATAAAAGGTCCAATGCTTTGACACTCAGGACACGATCCAGGTTTCACTTCAGCATTTTGATTTTGTACGAATGGACCAAGTACATATCCACATTTTGTACAATCGTATTTTACAACTGATAACTGTGGTAGTACTCCCGTTGTTGCAGTTACAACACCCAAAGTGCGTACCAACTGATTTAAATGTAACTTTCTGATATTGATATCAAACTCTATTAGTAACTTTACACACACTAAATATATTATATTAAGCATGTAATTATTTTTTACCTGAATGTTCGGATTTCCTCTATTAAAGGTAATTCTGATATCCTGACATGAATTTCGGTAGTAACTCGTTCATAACTAGGGAAAATGGTGAGTACTAAATCCTTTGCTACTTCATCAAATATTTCCAACATTTGAAATGGAGCTTCAGGCAAAAAATAGGCCAAAACATGTTCTTTACTTGCAAGAATAGGAAATTCCACAAAAAAACTGGACTGTTAAAAATGAAAATAATCATCTCATGAATGAATGCATTATTCCTCATGAATTCTAGTAAAACAAAAAAAAAAGGAACACATTACTTGATTACTTTCACACATATGACGAATTCTTTCTTTGTACATATATTGTCCTTTAGAATTAGTATGCGTACGTAAGAAACTTTTGAATCGATTATAGATTTCTGTTCTGGGACCTAACATAGATACCCATTCTTTAACTGTATGACCTTTAGTATCTTCTAAATTTTCAATGGACTCGATCATCTGAAGTAAAATAATTAAAATTAATTTATATCGTACAATAAGAAAGGTAATAAATATACTTACTTCTACATCTTCTAGTTCACCTGTTGCAGCCTTTTCAGCCATACGTCGCTTACGTGCTTGTACTTCTTCCTCGTCACTTTCATCTTCAATACATAGATAGATGTATGAATATACATATTATTAAATATCTTTTTTTATTAAATACAGGATTTCTTGTTATTAGTTTTTAATAAAAAGAGTATATACCGTAAAGCAAATATCTATCGTCTCTGATAATGCCTGCTGCTCTGTCTCTTTTAAGCATAGCAGTTTCAGCAGCAGCACGTTCTCCTTGAGACATTTCCGAGTAAGCTTCATCATCAACGAGATTAGGATCGTATCTGTCTAAAGCTGGCATAGGACGGTAATCGCTAGAACAATATAGCAATGTTAACAACAAGAAAATAATCTCGTTAAGTTTTATACAATAAAAGATTTTACTCTTCCATATTATCCCCAAATAACTCTTCTCCTTCCTCTTCCTCTTCTGCCTGGTTAATGTCATTGTCATTACTAAGTAAATCAGATTCATCTTCAAACGGTTCATCTATATCTGGCGCAGGAGACGTCATTGCCTCCGCATGCCTATCAGAACGAACTGGAGAACTGTTGGCATCCTAAAAAATATGTAAAATGGTGCAACAAATTGATAAATTAAAAAAAATCTAAAACATTATATTCATTTTAATGAATATATTATATATATTATATATTTATATGCTTAATATCTTGAACTGTGTTATGTTAAATTAGTTTCATTTTAGCGTATATTAATATTTTTAGAATACTCTATATATAATTGTAATTGACTTTTGTAAATAATATCTTACCATTATATTTACAGGAGACGCGAAATCAAATATAATAAGAATCCAACGAAATATGTACACAAAATGTTTCTTTATTTACTCGCTACTAAAAACTCGAACTGAGTCAAACTGAAAGACAGTTGTTGGCGGGAGTTTCTTTTAGATCGAATTCAGCCCAATCATGTCACAGATAACGTAATTTTCATTGACCAATGATAGCAATTCTTTAGGAACGAAAATGTCAAATTGTATTGGCTATATATATATATATATATATATATATAACATATATCAAAGTATATATAATTTTTTAATGAATTTATTATGCACATGGATCTAAACAGACCCAAGAATGCATGGACTGGGCCTACACAGAAATGAGTCCCACTCCTGCACATCTCCGGGCCTCAGCTTGACCCGTTAACGAGGGTCGACATAGAAATTTCCTCTGCTCTGATTGGCCGACGATGCGCTGCTCAGACAGCTTAGGGAGTAAAAAAAGCGTGCCGAAATAGGTCCCATTATTATGCACCAATGTGCTCAGATTGGCACGGAATCGACACAGGCATCCATGGCCCATATTACACGATACGATCATTGTGAATCGTAAGTACGACTCGAACATGATTACAATAGTAATGGGTTCTACTCCAAGCTGCAGCTTGATCCGTTAGGGAGGGTCCGTACAGAAATGTTCTTTCCTCTGATTGGTTGACGATTCATGTAAACGCGGCTCTTTCGAATCGAATTCCCGGAAGACAACTCATAATACAATTCTTTTAACTTTGACATTTTAAAACTGAATTTTTGTTTAAACGTATTGCTGATAGTTTTCTGATTGAAATGAGACCAAACATGATATAGTTTGGGCGAATATTTCTGATTAAAATAAAATCAAACACGATCTAATTTCGATTACACTTATTTTTTTTTATCCTAAAAAAGTTATTACATTTTGAAAGTTATCCAAACATCATCGAACGTGGACACGTTCCTCCGAATGCCCATCGAACGTAGGCTTGTTATCTCGCCTTTTCCACTGTGACATGCTTAATTAATAATATATAAATTATACAAATTTTGTTAGATCAAAGATGCAATTAAGAGTGGAAATGTGCAAGTAAACTCACGGTAATTTCAATTAGGGGTCGCAAGGGGTTGCGCACCAGCAATCAACTAGTTGCGCTCCTTGTCCAACTATCCGAGCAACTGGAAAGGCTATCGTGATCGTTGGCAATTAATCCGTTCGCTTCTTCCGTTAATTCACAAATCTCGATTAGCGAAGGTATTCAGGCTCTCTCGCCTCTCGACAAGTATAAGTTCGCGCCACCGGCGTGGCCGCCGGGGCCCGCGCATGATATACGAAATTGAAACGTCACATAAAACAGATTAAGGCGACGTATAATGAAAGGGCAATTACGGTGTAGCCGCGCGTTTCGCCTGCATTATCGTCGCGTACACGAATGTGTATTTCTTTCGGGCTGGAACGCGACGCCCGGGCAGTAAATGTCAATGCATCGTCGTACTAAAAAGTTAAGCGGTCGTGGTATGCGGTTAGGGACCTATTTTTGGAGTGGGTGTCGTTAGAGAAAGAGAAAAAAAGGATCGGCTGATCGAAATTTTTTACGAGCCCACCTCCCTTTCGGCCGTTTCTTTTCGTCGACGGAAACGAGTCGAAGGTTTAACCTTCTGCCCAGGCAATTACAGGAGTTGATAAAGTAGGGACACCACTGTCCAAAAATATCTTACCAGAGTTTAACACACGCGCGGTAGAGAGACTCGAGTATCCGAACATCGTTCACCCGAGCATCCGTGGCGCGGCTTTCTCCCACTCTAGCGCGGCTTGAAAACGTCATAATTTTTCATACTTTCTCCCTGTCCTGTGATCCTTGCACTATTAGAAGAGTACCGTCTATTTTTTGAAACTTTAACCAACGAAAATGGACAATTATGGTTGTTGACTATCGGTAACTGTATACTATAAATATGTACTGTATTGCTATATATTACTGTGTACTATACTGTATGCTATATTGCTGTATATTACTGTGTACTATACTATATGCTATATTGCTGTATATTACTATGTGCTATACTATATGCTATATTGCTGTATATTACTATGTGCTATACTATGTGCTATATTGCTGTATATTACTATGTGCTATACTATATGCTATACTGCTGTATATTACTATGTGCTATACTATTGGATTGGCAACTAAGTAATTGCCGATTTGTTCGATGAAATAAAAAATTTCTCTTTACTTGGAATGAAGTTTAATCTGTAATGTATTTTCCATTTTGTTCGATGACCTTTTGCCATCTTTCCGACAACTTGAAAATTCCACGCTCGCAGAAAGTCTGATCCTTTTCGGCCAAAAACTGAGTTAAGTGAGATTTTACAGCGTCATCGTCATTAAAAGTTTTACCACGAAGGGAGTTGTCCAGGGATCGAAATAAGTGGTAATCCGATGGCGCGAGATCAGGGCTTTATGGTGAGTGTAACATCAATTCCCAACCAATATCCATCAATTTTTGCCGAGTGGACAAAGACGTGTGCGGTCTAGCATTGTCCTGCTGGAAAATGACACCTTTACGATCGACCAATTCTGGTCGCTTTTCCTTGACCGCTGCATCATCATAAAAATGGAAGTGAGAGACATCTACAACTGAAATCAGCAATTACTTAGTTGCCAACCCAATAGAAGATAATGAACTAAATCGACTTTCCTGTAATCTTCACGATTTCCACACGGGTTAAACAATTGCATTGGTAACAATGCTCCTATAATCCCTATATATAATAATAATATATAATAATATATATAATAATCCTATATATAATTATATATATAATATATACAATAATAATAATATATACAATAATAATAATATTATTATATAATATTATAATATTATATATTATTATTATAATTATATATATAATTATATATAATAATAATATAA